GGGGGGCGGGCGGGCGCAGGGCTCCCCCGCGGGGCTCGGGGTTCGGCGCCCCCCCGCTGCGGGGGTCCGGGGCTGAAATCCCGACCTCGGCTTGGGCCCCGGGGTACCCCGCCTAACAACCCTGGCTGCTACAATCGAGTAGCAGATGCCCTTTCTCGTAGGCCTGACGTTCTCTTTCTGATCTCCTTTACTCACTCATTTGGAGAGGACTCGTCAGACCATTGCCCGTCTGCTGCCCCAGGATGCGGTTTTTGGGCCTATAGTGAGGAATCTTCAGGATGATCCTGCCTCTGAACCAGGATATACTTTGGTTTCGGATCTGTTGTACACATGCAGCAGAGGTGAGGAACGCCTATGTATTCCCCAGGAACGCAAGTTGAGAACACTTATGATGTCAGAGTGTCATGATGCTCGTTGTCACTTTGGTGCCCTCAAATCGTATGCAGCCCTGTCGCAGCGCTTCTTCTGGAAGGGGATGAGGAGTGACATGTTGCACTATGTGGAAACCTGTGAGTTGTGCCAAAGGAACAAGGTAGTACGACGACCTTCCCTTGGCCTACTCAAACCACTACCCATTCTTGAAGCACCTGCACAGTCTGTGTCTATTGATTTTACTGACTTGGGTAGGACCACACCTCGTGGTATGCATCAGGTTATGGTCTGCGTGGATCGGTTTTCCAAATACGCAGAGTTCATCCCCTTACCAACTGAGGCTTGCGTTCCAGCCGTTCAGGCGGCATTTGCTGCCAGGTGGGTTACACATCATGGACCACCCACCTCTATAGTCAGTGACCGAGATCCCAAGTTTTGCAGCAATGAATGGCAATCCTACTGCAGGGATTACCTTCATTCTCGTCTGGATATGACATCTGGTCGTCATCCTGAAGCCAATGGTCAGGCTGAAGTGATGAGCCAGATTCTATTTCAGTTGCTGCGTCATGTGATCAGTCCAGATCAGCAGGACTGGGATCTCCATTTGAGTCGTGCACAGCTTGTGTACAACACTTTTGTACACTCCTCCACAGGCTTCACACCCTACCGGTTGCACTGGGGTCGTGAGCCACGGCAGCCTCTCGATGACATCATCGATAAGGCTACCCCTACGTTGACACCTAGAACTGCAGAGTTCACCAAGCGTTACCATGTGGACATAGAGCGTGCCTGTGCTAATCTGCTGAAAGCCCAAAAGGCTATGATTCAGCAGTCTAATAGGCACAAACGACCCTCAACTATTCGCACAGGTGACTGGGTGTGGGTACTCAATTCTGAGCTGTCACGAGAGGAGGACATTTCACCTAAGCTGCTGCCACGATATATGGGTCCATGGCAGGTCTTAGATACAGTGGGAGCTGATCCGTTTGGACCATCCTATACAGTGGATGTCCCTCTGCATCTACAAACCTACCCTGTTTTTCATGCATCTAAGCTGTTGCCATTCACATCAGCTGATGCATTTCCAGACAGGCCTCCTCAGTTTGGTCCTCCGATCCCTGGAAAGGGATATGACGTGGAGTCCATTGAGGACGAGTCGGGTACAGGACCAGATAAGGAATACCTTGTGAAGTTTTGCGACCAGCCGCACACTGAAGATCGCTGGTTTACTCGCAAGGAACTCCTGAAAACAGCAAAGTCTGTTGTCCTCATATATGAGGCAGCACAGAAGGGAGAACCCCTTCGACGTTCTGCACACCTACGCCCCTAGCTCGGAGGTCCTCGCTCCGGGGGAGGGTAGGTCTGCAATGACTTGCTGGTTTCTGGTCGCCTGTAGCCTCTCTCTTGTCGAGGCTGTACCATTTGTATGTCAGATTTGTAATTTTGTTTGGCTGAGGGCTAACCGAGAGACCTGCATGTACGGAAATCCGGTAGGGACATACCTGCAAAATTGTGGAAAATATAGGCCCGTGCTAACTGGAATTTCCTACAGCTACCCAAACTGCGACTAGCAGGCCCGGACTACCCCTAGGGCGGACAGGCCCTATAGGCCTATGCTGATAGACGGTCCTATAGCCTATAGCCGGGTAAGGTAGAGGCCGAGAGGCCGAAACTGAAACGGTACCGGTCAGTCCAGTCAGTCCGGTCTAGGTCGAGTCTAGACTAGTGTAGACTATAGATAGGATG